TTCATTTGAACGCGCGCACAAAAGGCATCAACGCGATTATTTCCTCTCAAACAGCGACATCAGGGTGGTTTAACAAGTGTTTAACTGAAGTCAAAGACATCAGTGTGTGTGTGGAAGGTTTGGATGTTCTCACCGAAACTGTGTTCGTCCATCAGACAGAGCTCGTCTGCATCACTCTCGTCCATGTCTGAGGATCTCTGTCATCTTCATCCTGATGTTGCTGAAGCAGATCTGAGGAGCTCTTCATTGTGTCGCGTCGCCCATTGGCCAGAGCAGCGGGTCGCGCACTGCGTGCTGCATACTGCAGACTGTAGAGTGCGCTACATTGTTGACATTGTCACTACAGTTGCCATCTAAAAAAAATTATCATCTCAAAAATACAAAAATATAGAAAAATTATATTTCATATCAAAATGTTTGAATGATCAAATAATAAATCAAGAAATAAATGTTAAAAATGACAGCGATATGATAAAATATAACAGTGTGTAACAATTTTATTTTTCCATAATTGGGTATTTATTGGTATTGGAATATTTTAAGTGAATTATTTTGTATGTGTAGATGTCTGTATGTGAACGGTGTATGTTTATGGAGGTGTAGCAATATGTATTTAATTGCACTATGGGTTTATTTATTTATTTATTTTATTTATTTATTTCTCTTCGATTTGTTGGCATGGGGGTTGGGGGATTGTTCTCTAAAATGTGAAAAGCTTTAAAGAAAATATTCAACAACAAAAAAATGACGGCGATATTGGGTCTCGGTCATTACTCAAACTGTAAATATGGCATTTATGACAAAATATCATGTCAAAAATCTCTTTTTTTTTTCTCAGGCAGGATCACATTTCAAGATCTTAGCTGCTTTTAAGGCTCTTTTTGCAAGTTAATTTTGCAAAAAAAAGTTAATTGCGAGTTAATTTTAAGTTAAGGCTATTTTTGCAAATAATTTCCCTATTTAAAAAATGCAGCCCTATAAAGCAATATATAATAACAGAAAAAAGAATGACAGATCATTTATTTTAAAAGAGCTACTATTCTAAATTGAGAATCACATTGTTTTATTTATTTATATGTTTGTTTGTTTGTTTACTTATTTATTTTTGAATAGAGAACTGGGGGGGGCTATATCAATGATTTACAAAATCAATATATTGGACTATCAAGCAACATCATTTACTTAAGTTTTGACAATCTTCGCTATCCTTGCTTCAATAAACAAAAAGTATACATTTTTTTTTAATCTGAGCATAAAAGTGGAAAAATATACATTAAATGTTTACAATGTAAGATAGCTTGGTGATGACTATCACGTGACACTGCGGGAAAGATGGTTTATTTTAACGTTTTTAATTTGTATGAATTCACTTTTGAATTAATCGTTTGAGTGAGTGATTCAGTGACTCATCCATAAAGACTTCTCATGGTTAGTTTCTGATTGAATCTGCGTGTTTGAACAAATCGTATGAGTGAATGATTCAGTGACTCGTTCATTTAAGACTTTGCGTTGTTCGTTTCTGAATGAATCCATGTGTTTGAACGAATGATTCAGTGATTCGTTCATTAAGACTTTGCGTAGTTAGTTTCTGAATGGATCTGCGTGTTTGAATGAATTGTTTGAGTGAATGCTTCAGTGATTCGTTCATTAAAGGGGTCATAGGATGCTACATGCACTTTTACAAGTTGTTTGAACTGAAATGTGTGTTGGCAGTGTGTGTACACAAATACCCTATAATGATAAAAATCCACCCAGTTGTTTTTTTTTAATCTACTAAAATCTTAACCCATTTCTCAAATCGAGCCGATCTCAGATGCCTGTCTGTGTGACGTCACACAGACAGGCCCCTCCCACGATAGTTTGATTGACAGTAGTGTTTCAGCACAGACTGGACTGGTGTCTTACCTTAGCTCCGCCCCTGAGTGAGCTGTCATCAGTCCTCCATTGTTTCACCGCCGGAGCAGATGTAGACAAGAATGACTCCTGAGCGATTGAGGTGTTCTGTTGTTGGATGTAATAATGAACATAGCAGTCGTCATTTACTCCCGACATCTGAGCCGCTGAAGACACAGTGGATTATGTTTGTTTCTGAAGGGAATGCGCCCCCGATCTACATAAATGCATCTATGTTCGCGCGAATCATTCGTGATCCAGCTTCACCAACAGAAGGAGTATAATGTTTTGTAATGAATCTTTGCAAATCGCCTTTCCTAATAATGTGCTAATTAACAAGTTTCACGATGAATGCAGCTAAAGTAAACAGTCTCTCAGAGAGCGGCTCGGAAGAGAAGGGCGGGGTCAGCAGAGCTCATTAACATTTAAAGGGAAATGCTACAAAAACGGCTTGATCTGAAAAGAGCTGTTTTTGACAGGGTAAAAAAAGGTGTTTTTTACACTAC